TCTAGTACCTCCCAGCTCTTCCCCTCCTTTGGGGTGTGTCCAATTCTCCACCCCAGGAGCCCGAATCCAAATCTTCTTCCTCTGTGCTTTCCCTTGGGGGCTCTTGCTCAGGCAGTTTGCACCATGTCTCCTCATCTAGCCATTCCCTGACGTTAACATAGCTGCTCTCTCTAGGTCTGGCAGAAGCAAAGCTCTCAGTACCAGATTATGCAAAGGGGGTGCCTATGTGTGTTACTTTCCAGTAAACATACATATCTCCTGCACTCTGCAATCCTCTGTGGTCGCCCATGCTTCCTGGTCTCAAATAGTCCCATGGGACTATGACCTCTTCCCCCCTGGGCTTTCCCAGAAGCACAGACACCTAGGTAGGCTGCAGAGTGCAGCCCACCAGAGAGACACTTTGTGGAATGAAGGAAAGGGTGCTCACAAACACGCCCTCAGGCACCGCAAAAGGAAGGAAAGCACATCAAAAGCCCTGCACGCCCCATCCATGAGAATGTCAGTGAAGTCCTCTATCCCCTTTGATAATGTTCAAACACAGTTTATTTTCTCATTATTTTCTCTTCCACCCACCAGGCAGCTGGTGATACCTGTAGGACTTGACTAGTTTGTCTATACTGGAAATTAATTGCTGTGTAACATCTGAAATGGTGTCAGTGTCACCTCTGTTTAGCATTTGAAAGGTCTGTACATATTTTGGGAGCTCTGTCCTTAACTTGTTATAGCCGTTTGTCAATGGTTTTGTTGTTTGGAATTATTTCTCATTTAAAACAAAAACAAAAAAAACCTCCCAACAGACTAGAGCAAACTTCACATGAATGATGAATGTCAGTTTGTGCCTGCCTTTCCCAGGAGGCCTTGTCTGCCACACTAGCTTACACTGAGTTATTAGACAATCCGTCATAGCTTTGGCTCTTGTGCAGAGTGACATAGGTGGCCAGAGAGTATGTTGCCTGTAACAGTTTAATGGCCCTTCCTGAATAAAAAAAGTTTGCTGTCAGCTGAGAAGCTGCTGAATGCCAGAATGCAGATACTGAATATCAATATCCACTGAACATCTGCCCAGCATTCGCAAACCTGAGAATTTTTGAAGACTATTTTCTAGCAAAATTCGCAGAGGGGACTTTTGAGAAGGACCTGGGATGGGGTCAGAATTGGCTTCAAAGCTGAAGAGAGCCAGCCTTGTTGTCACAAGGCAGCCGTGGCCATTGCAGGATGCTAGCTTAATTTTTGTCTAAGGTGCGAAACTTCCAGAGCAGCTGTTTTCTTATTTCACTGTGTCCCCGGGGAGAGACAAGGAGCTCAAGGAAGAATTGACACTAAGCTCCTCAGCTTGCTCCCTCAGCTGGTTCCTCTGAAATATTTAAAAGATCACGAAAATACTAGCAACTGGACACCATTCCAGTTGGGGCCTTAATGAGCAATACTTTAAAATTAGCATTCTTCTAACTGCTTGCTAGGATTTGAAGGTGCCTTCATTCTTCTGTAAAACCTGCAAAGTGATCAGTTGGTCAATAGCACAAGCTCAACCAAATGTTTTGAGTGTGGACCGGAGTTTAAGTCCTCAGCCCCAGCAATGCAGTAAAATTGTTAGGAAATAGGCTTTTGGTTTCTTTTAAGGAAATCAATTTTGCATGACATGTAAACAGCAATGAAAAGAAGAACTTCAAAATTTGCATAAGAAGCATAGCATGCTCAAGGATGAGGCTAAATTGTTGCAATTCTTGGTGTTAAAGGACCATTTCCCAAAGCCAGGGATCCACACACAGATTTGCGGATTCTGGTCTCTAGTTTTGCCTGAGAGCACGTTCAACACAAAGGAGCACAAAGCAGTCAGTTTACTCTGCTGCATAGAAACTCCAAGAGAAAACTAGATCTTCAGATCTGAGTCCTCTGAGCCAGAGCCCATCATTTGATTTCTGCACATGGTGTCCAGTCCCAACCCCAAATATTCTCAGCTCTGAAACATGAGCATCAACTAATCTATACTGTGTAGAAGTAGGGAAATTGCACAGCCAGAATGGACCCAGTGGCTCTCTGGCCCTACCCTGAGGGGCACACTCCATTCACAGGACTGAGCCATGGGGGGAAAGGGGTGAGGCAGAGAGGGATGCTTTCCTATGAAAGCAGCAGGTGCAGACAATTAAAACACACACCCAACCAAAGTGTCACTTTTGCAGCTTTGGGCCTTTCCTCCCCCTTTTTGAATGGATGCTGGCCAGACCTCGGCAGTCATGGTGAACACGGTTCACAACAGTTCCCCCAGCAGTGAACACGAAATGCTGCCTTCCTTTGAACAGCATCCTTTTTATGCTTGCCAATTCTTGCAAAGCCGTGAACAACACTTTCCTGACAGCAGAGCACAGAGGGAGACCTACACAACCTTAGAACTGTTCTCCTATGGGTACATTTTATCCTTTCTGATACTGGGGAAAGATAACTATTGTAAACACTTAAGCTTCTATTGTCTGGAAGCAGACAACTCTCCTTGTCTGATGTGCTGGCTCTGTGCACACACTCTAAATTCCTCTCTTCCTCCGTCTCGTCCTTTGTCTCCGCCTTTGTCTCCGTTTTCTCACCTGGCCATGGGAATTGAAGAAGAAACTTTGCTGCAATGTTAGGCAGGACAGCTAGAAAAGTCTCTTTGAATATCTACTCCACCACCACTCTTTGCTTCTCATAACAACTCAGTCCTCAAACTGAGCTGTAGATGATGGACTTGCAGCACTTTTGCCTCCCTTGTATAGGGCCTACAGTGGCTGCCGAGGCAGAGTCCAAACCAAAGCAAACAAACCAAAAAAGGAACTAACTAGCTACCAGGAAAAGCTGCAATGGAACATGCTCCTCCTATTTATCAGGACAATCCCTACCTCCTGGGATTTGTACCTGGGCTGTGGACTGCATGATTTCTACAATTTTCATAATTCCTTCCAGAATAGGGAGAAATGGCTAAAACTGGGCATCCTGTTTGCTTAACAAAAGGGTGAAAGACTTGTGATAGTGAGCCATTATCTGAGCCTAGGCATCCATGTCTGCTGTCTGCCTTCAAATCTCCTTACCATTGTGTGGATGGATCCCACTGGGGAGCTGAGTAAAAAAAAAAAAAAGTAAAGGGATGCAGGTGGCACTGTGGTCTAAACCATTGAGCTTCTTGGGCTTACGGATCAGAAGGTCAACGGCTTGAATCCCCACGAAGGGGTGAGCTCCCATTGTGTGGATGGATCCCACTGGGGAGTTGAGTATCCTGTATTTAGCAACTAAATTTGCATGTGTTAATTTTTAGGTCAGGTGTGCTGAACTCAGCATATGCCTAAATGCCTTTCAGCAGGGGGCTGGAATCTGGCTTGATCCAGGGTCACCAAAGCTCATCACGGAGGGTTTCATGTCATACAGTGGTACCTCGGGTTACAGACGCTTCAGGTTACAGACTCCACTAACCCAGAAATAGTAAATCGGGTTAAGAACTTTGCTTCAGGATGAGAACAGAAATCACAAGGCGGCGGCAGTGGGAGGCCCCATTAGCTAAAGTGGTACCTCAGGTTAAGAACAGTTTCATGTTAAGAACGGACCTCCGGAACGAATTAAGTTCTTAACCCGAGGTACCACTGTATAACATTGGTAGATAGGGCTGATATGTATAGCAAAAAACTCTTCTGTAGATGCTGATGTCAAACATTCATTCATTTTATTTGAGCACCCAAATATATGTTGAATATTCATGAAAATTCTTTATTAGCATTTGGTGTCAAATGATATTTTCTTTCAGTAATTGATGTTTGACAGCTTTTGATAGCTGCTACAATATGGCATATGACAGGAATTCATACATGACATGAGGTATTTTAATATCTAATGGTATTTGAAACTTAGAATCCAGTGGGATGTAGTATCTAATGGCTGGCTTTACATTTGACAGCATCTCAAAGAGATTTTTTAGTACCTCACTGTACTTGAAGGCTGATCATATATTACTAATTGCTTATTATTCAGGCAGTATAATTATTGGGGAAATTTAATAAAGGGTAATTTTGTGCAGCAGACAACAACACTTCTATAGCACCTCAGAACATTCAGAGCACTTCCATGCACGATGTTGTTGCAACCCAGACTTAAAACATCCCACTAAGCTTGGTCACCACTACCCGCATACTGCAATTCCAAGACTGAGGCTGCAGTTCTCTGCACCAGTGGTGGGAAACCTCCAGCCTGTAGGCCAAATGCAGACCTCTGGGCCTATCTGGCCTTTGGTCACATCCCCTCTCCCCAGGCCTCACCCCTCACTGGCCATGCTTCACAACTCAAGTGTGTATGTCTGGCTGGCATGTGTTCTTGAACTCCATTAAAGCAGTGTCAGATGTAGGGTGGTGCAAGGGGGTCCCCCCCCACAGGGTACTTGCTGAGAAGATCCATTAAAAAACAACTGTAGCAAAATGAATTATCATGAAAATAAAAAATATTGGGGGGGGGCGATCAAATTTTGTCCTCACTCACGGTGGCATATTACCAAAATCCACCTCTGATTGATGCCATTTTCTTGCCTGGAAGAGGGATTGAGAGGACTATGTGACCATGTATAGAAACTAGCTACTGTACAAAGGTAACATTTAACATTCCTGCTCTGTACATTTTAGGCCCTGCTCCCCATTGACACACAGTCCTTGGTAGGTTTGCCATACGTCAGGAAAATTCCGGACACGTCCTGGTTCTCAGGTGTAAAAGTTGCATCAGGGGAAACCCAGATTTAGGATGTTGCGTGATGGCAACGCGATGTGTGGCAAAGCTGTAAATCACTATTTTGGGGGGAGGTTCGCCCAAAAAAAGCTCAGCAATTTTGGTGGGTTTTCAAAAGAAAAAAGAAAAAAGCTCAACACAGGAACTTTACTTTTTGAAATATGGCAAAGGTTGAAAGAAAGTCTGCTTGAATTAAGTGGGACTGACTTCTGAGTTGATATGCATAAGATTGCAATATGAGAAAGAAGGGCTTATATAATCCTAGAATATGCTGCTGGGGATCAAACTTGCAAACCTGGCATTATCAGCACCATGCTCTAACCAACTGAGCCATCCAAAAAGGCAAAAATGCCTTTTGCAGAGTTCATCACAGCAGAGGTGAGATTCAAGCTAGGGACCTCTGATCTGCACTACACCAGCAGACATGATCACTGGCAATTAATGAGATTTCATATTAGATGCCTGCCAGAATTAACACAACTGAGAGAGGCAAACAAGTCTAAAGAACTAAAATTCTGACTTTCATTTTGGGAAAGTTTGAGTTTGTAATGTGCACAGCAAAACTGGACATTGTGCAGAATTCTCCCATTTTTGCAAAATGTTGTGGCAGTTCTAGCAGCAGGTGCAATGGCTTCCGGACAAGCTGATGCCCATGCTCTCCTGTGAGAGACCATGTCACTGCCAATAATATATACACAGCACTAGCTCCTGTCACTTGCCATTCTCATATGCAGTAACCACCTTCCTCCTGCAAAAGACCCACTAACAAGCCAGCTGTCTGCAGGTAACGAAATAAATTATAAACTGATGCAAAGAAACTCTACAGAGACCAAGCCTTGTTCTGTTTTCATCTGGACCTTCCAAGTTTTAAAAACAGGGTGACTCCGAGGGAACTGAAATCTTGCTCATATTTTATATTTCTTCAACCGCTGTGTGCACCAATAGAAATGAATGGCAGTGGCAGTTCAGGGGTTTACTGGCATGCCACCACTCCCCACTTGACGACACACACAGTCCTCCCCAATGTGCTCAGTTTGAAGTCCCTTCCCTCATCGCGAGTTCCCACAAGTGAATTGGATTAGTCACATTTTTAATTAACTGTGCCAGCGCGAGCTCTATTAGGTATTAAATGTTTGTCACAATCCAATTAAAAAATCCATCTCGGCGGGGCAGGTTTTTCCAAGTCGTTGCAGATTGATGTGATGTGTTTACAACTCTCTCTCTCTCTCTCTGCTCCCACCCCACTTTCCCCCCCTGTTAGAAAGGAGAGGGGCAGACTGAGGGGGAGTTGAAATGGAGATTGGTGTGAGGCCAGAGGGTAGGGAGTGATAGGTTTCATTTTCCTTCACAGGTCACAGAGGGAAGACACTCATGTTTCTCTTTCACAGTTATCTGAGATCTCAGCTTCCATTTTAGCCACCATTGCTGATTGTCTACAAAACAGCAGAAGTGGTTCCTCTCAGGGCTGGCTGGCCAGGGCTGGCCCCCCACAAGGCAAAGGGAGGTGACAGCCTCAAGTGGTGGGATCCACAGGGGCAACAGATTTTGATGTGCAGTAGGTCTTTATCCCCCTCCTTGTTCATGATGTAGAACATCTCTCACCTTCTTTTCCAATGGGAGGCACCATTTTGTGGTTTGCCTCAGGTGCCAATATGTCTTGGGTCAGCTTGTGACTGGTGGTATGGAGCGGGCGAGTAAGGCAGACAGATTATCTAACTGGCATGGGTGGATTCCACTGTCGATGAGCAGGCAAAGCAATATATAAAGTATAATAGAGGCCTAAAAGAGAAATCGCCTGCTCTACATAGTGGGAGAACTCTTCATGGAATGTGTGCCACCGATCATCCTGGGAGCAGGATGGGGATGAAAGAGCCGTTTGTCTGTGTCTCAGTTTGGGATAAAATGAAATTACTAAAGTATTTTTAAAGGGGTGGAATCCTCTGGACCAGGGAGATGCTAATGGCCCCACCAAGGGCAGAGATGGTGGTTCCCCTTTTTCAGGCTGAGAGGTCAACCATTTGGGGCCACATGCCAAGAAAGACATGGCTAAAGTGTAAAGTGGGCATGGTGAGAACTGCAATTCTCAAGGCTGCCTTCCTAAAGACTTTCCCGTTCTACATTATTTGAAATCATTTTTATATCTTCACCATGACATTCATACTACAGTACATGTTTAAAAGAGCTTTGAGGGGCTTTGGGTCTGTGAGGCCAAAAGGGGTTTTGTTTTGGGGATCTTTTTTGGTATTACAGAATCCCAGAAGGGGACCCACTTTGACCTCACAGCAGCGCATTCGGGTACTAACAGGAGCAGTGAGTACGTTTTAGATGAAGATCTAGATCTAGATATATAGATATACTGTGTGTGTATGTGTAAATAAATAAAGGGGGAAATCTGGGGAGGAACCTTCTGGCATTATGGCAGCACAGTGATGGAAACAAGGAAACAGTCAATGAATGCTTTAAAAAGCAACTTTTTAAACTTTTAATGGTAAATGATGATGGGAGGGGTCTTTGGGAAGGCAGACATGGCCAATGGGCCTCAGGCTAGCTACTCCTGTTCTAGGGGCTAGATTGGGCTGCTGGGCTACTGTTCCCTACCCTGCTCTACCTTGTCTATTGGATGGATGAATTCTTCATGTTCTGTGGCTCTCATCCCCTTTCATCCCCTTAGACCTGTAATGCTTTGGCTGGAAAGGGTGTCCCCTTCGTTCTGCACCAAGAAAAAGCAAAGAAGCAGGCGCTCCAAATATCTCTCTCCTGTGCCATTATCAGTTTCTCACTCGTCCCTCTCCAGTCTGCAACATTTCTGGCTTGGTTGTCCCTTCATATGGGACTCGTAATGATCATTGCCCTTCTATCATCCCAGTCTATTTCTGCTCTCACTTTAGCAGTGGAAGGAGGTGGAGCGGGAGAGAAGATGGACCACTTTTGCACACTGTATTGCAGGAGATGGTGTTCCATTGATTTATATAATGTCATTCGACTACTTTCCCTTTCCCTTAGTGCAGCCCAAATTCGTGCTTTGGGTTGCCAATCATTTTTCAGTCCCAGAGTAGTTACAGTTAATATAGAACCCCATCACTGTGGATTACTCCTGGCTTGGCATTTGTCAGCACGAAATTACATCTGCATTACACTGTTTCATACTCTTATCAGGTGCCTCTGATGTTCCCCATAATTCTCCATAAACATGAATGTCCTGTATAATTCTGCACTTTTGCCCGGACTCTTGAGACACTTTGCTGTTAGCCGTGCAGTGAGAAACACCATTGATTCCTCTTCAGTTTTGGTCTCTCTCTCTGTCCTAGTTTCACTGTAAGCCATTGCGGCGGCTTGAGGTGACCTAGGCTGTTATGCTTCAAACCAAAATTCAAACCAAATCTGCAAGGTTTCCGGAAGACCAAATGTCTGATGAATTTTGAGAGAAACCAAAGGGATTTTGATAAGATATCAACATTTCTCCAAATAAGCTTTCTTTGCCCTCAGTGGCATTAGCATATAGTCAAATCCTATTAGTGACATAGCACTGTGATGTCATCACAGGCCACCATGGAGATACTGTGGGTAGCAGAGGCAGCAGAACTCAGCTCCTGCTCTTTAGGTGCTCCACATGCTTCCACAGCAGGGCACCTTGCGCCAGGGGCACATGTACATTCACAATCCATTCCTCCTCTTGAGCCCAGCCCAGTTCTTTTTCTCCCTCTGCATTCCCTCGCACCACTGAGCCCTGGAGAGAGAGGTTAATTGGGAGTGGGGAAGAGGGAGGGGAGGGGAGGAGACCCTCCCCCCGAGACCCTGTGCAATGACTTGCAGCCAGGTCCTGCAGGGCTGAAGATTTTCTAAATTAAATATATATATATATATTAATGCACTTTTGGGCACCTGGAAATCCAAGACCTCCCCCTGCCACCTGGAGGGAGGCAGGCAAACCTGGAGACTTCAGGTCAGCCTAAAGGGCCTGGCAACTCCACTAGACAACAACTAGGAAGAGTTTGTGAGTGCCTGATTATCTAATCTGCACAAATTTCATTCAGCTCTTATTTTTCTAATACGGCCTTATTGAAGCACGTTCAGAAAATACAAAAAAAATTGAATATTCGAAAGTAGCACTGTAATGTAAACACGTTCAGTTTATCATCCCCCCCCCCCAATACCGAATGTATTTTGAGCATTATTGAGTTTTTGAACTATACTGCAAAACATAGTTTGGAGTATGGGCACCCCTTGTAAAAATGTTCACGTTCATTTCTGCTGCCTTCACTTGCTGTTACTGGCACCATGAAATAGTTAAATATGATAGTTACAGGTAGGTAGCCGTGTTGGTCTGCCATAGTCAAAACCAAATAAAAAACTTCCTTCCACACTTCTGTATGCACACGAAAGCTCATACCAATAGCAAACTTAGTTGGTCTCTAAAGTGCTACTGGAAGGATTTTTTTAAATTAAATATGATAGGGTTGTCATAGTCCAGATTTTTCCGGACATATCCAGAACACAACAGTCGGCAGCAGTGTCCTGGTGGAATTTGGGCAAATGACCGGGACGCATGGCAGCCCGTGTTGGCAGTGCTGTTTTTCTATAAAAATAGCTCAAAATCAGCATTTTTTTTATAAGTGATTTTGCCCCAAAAGCTCAACAACTTTTCTGTCCAGAGTTTCACTGCTTCACCTACATTGGCTCCCAGTACGTTTCCGAGCACAATTCAAAGTGTTGGTGCTGACCTTTAAAGCCCTAAATGGCCTCGATTCAGTATATCCGAAGGAGCGTCTCCACCCCCATCGTTCTGCCCGGACACTGAGGTCCAGCGCCAAGGGCCTTCTGGTGGTTCCCTCACTGCGAGAAGCCAAGTTACAGGGAACCAGGCAGACGGCCTTCTTGGTAGTGGTGCCCTCCCTGTGGAACGCCCTCCCACCAGATGTCAAAGAGAACAACAACTACCAGACTTTTAGAAGACATCTGAAGGCAGCCCTGTTTAGGGAAGTTTTGAATGTTTGATGTATTATAGTATTTTAATATTTTTTTTGGAAGCTGCCCAGAGTGGCTGGGGAAGCCCAGCCAGATGGGCGGGGTATAAATAATAAATTATTATTATTATTATTATTATTATTATTATTATTATTATTATTATTATTATCTACTTCCTGGACTGTGGCATTGCTTTACATTTGATCTCATGTGTTGTTAATTTTGGAAAACTTCAATATAAATCCATTTTTAAGGAAAAAGAAAGAAAGAAAAGAACATTGTGCCCTTTTATTGGTTTAATACTGCTCTTTGGGTAGAATTTTCCAAACTTCACATTAGTCAGAGTTGCTCTTGCAAGAAGGGAGAGAGAG